TATAATAATGATATGCAGAAACATATCCCCTGAGAACGCCTTCCTTCATATTGTTTTGTCTCTACTGACTCTCTTTAGTGTAGGGTTGCTCTCTTATAGGAACTTTGTTCCAGCTTGTCTTTCCGGGGCTGGCCCTTTAAATTTGGCAGAAACACACAGCTGCAGCCCTAAAGTAGCCATTTTGTAGCTGATTGTTGCTTGCTGCTTTCACCTCTCTTGTAGCTGATAATGTTCTTAACTTCTGTTATGCTGTCACCTGCTTTTAAATTTTCATATTGCTGAGGAGATGGCACATTCTTGTAAGTCTTTATATAATACCCTCATGTATTACATATAGTTATCTCTCTGTAATGTGTGTCTATAGAAATCCTAATATCTACAGAGCTATACCTGGTGTATGTATTATTTAATAATATAACTTTAATTAATGTTTCATCAGTGTTTGTTCTTGAAGGGGTGGATTATTTGTCCCATTCTATAATGGAAAATTATTGCAAAGCATTATGAATGGTCAAGAGAAATGGCAATGTATAGAGTTTCTGTCTAGAAGGAGAGCACTCTTCTGCAGGCTAATTGATGAATTATAATTTAAGGTTTTGTGTTGGTTTGCAATGACACCACAGTTTGCCTCTGGTTTTGTGTTGGGAGCAATTGTTTGGTAGTAACATAGGGGATGATACAAAAGCTGAGGCTGCAGTCTGAAGCCTTAGGATATGTCTACACTGCAGTTAGGAGTGAGTCCCCCAGTTCGGGTAGACAGACTGGTGCTAGAGGGGCTTGAGCTAGTGCTCTGAGTGTAGCAGCACGGGCTCTCAAGCTCTCTCCACCCCATGGCTCTGAGCTCAGGTAGCTAGCCTGAGTCTCTGCCGGAGCCACAACACCCCCCCCCCTGATATTTTTAGCGGGCTAGCGCCGGTCTGTCTGCCCTGGCTGGGAGGCTCACTCCCAACTGCAGTGAAGACATACCCTCAAGGTCTTAACATTGTGGCATTAGTAAATTTTGGATTATTTCAGTTCATGTAAAAGTGCCTTATTCAAATAGAGTAACTGAAAAGATGGGTGAGAGGTAGAGGAGGATTAAATGAGAAAATAATGTAAGCGATCAGAATTTTTATTAGAAAATTCAGGGGAAGGGAGGTGACCTGTGAGGAAATAACTTTTCCCAATGTATCGAACAGATCAGTTATTGGGAGAGAACCAATATGGCGAAAATGAAGATCAATGGAGAAGAAACTAAAATGTCCCACCAAAAAACAAACAAACAAAAAAACAAAAGCGGAGCTCTTCTTTTAAAGAAAAGCAAAGCACCCTTTACACTAAAAATTCTTAAATTTATTTAATAGCATAAACTTGCTCAGCCAGATTTTAAATTAAGTAACAGGGATAAATCTTAGCGCTTGCACCTGTAAGTTTCTGATGATCGTTGTTAGCCAGGACTGCCGCTGAATGACTAAACCTGCTTAGTGACACCATTAGGGCTAATAGAGTGAAAGAAGGAGACAGGTTGGTTTAAAAACAGGATTGGACAGCACAATATAAATCAGGCAAGTAGGATTGTGATAGAAAAGTTGAATTTTAATTTGTCATATTTAGCTGGTTCTGAGTTCCTTTAGGGGCTCAGTCCTGCAACATTCTGTTAATGGGAGATGAGGGCACTGTACATCTCAAGTGGCCCTTCAACACTTTAGGATCAGACCCTAAATGTTCTTGCCCTGGAGAAGACTATAATTGACAATGTTAGCAGTGCAAGATGATTGGGATCCCACTGAGAGTGGCCAGACTCTAGGGACCAGCCATTTGGCACCCTGTGCATCTCAGAGGCTATGGAGTACCCTTACAAATCCTTGATCCACCAGGATTCGTGGTCAGTCCTGGGTGGGGGGTAATTTAGGGCAGTGGCTGCTCTAACTGATGTCAGTAGTCCCCCCGAGACATGCACCTAACACAATGGTGGGGCCTGTGAGGGGAAGAATAGAAGCTTCTATGCTGGTTTTACATGAGGGAAACACTCAGCTGGCTGGTCACACAGACTCTAAGGTTGTTTTATTATTAATCATGTTTACTATGGTAGTTTGTGTAGGGGCCAACCAAGAATTGGGTCCCATGGTGGTAGGCACTGTACGAACATGGAGTAATGGATGGTCTTAGCCCTGAAGAGTTTACAGTTTGAATAGACAAGCCAGATCTAGGGTGAGGAAAGGGGTAGAAATATGAGCAGAATGAACAATGTGGTGGCAGCAAATGTTATGTTTATGCCACAATATTTGTGTGTGTGTATGTGTTACTTAGGTGGTGAAACACTGAATGGAAAGAAAAGGACAGGGAAGTGGGCAAGGGCAGGGTAGGAGAAGATGAGGGAGCAGGTGTGGAGTGAACCTGAGGTGAAGTGACAGTGAGAGATGGGGAGTGAGAGGGTTGGAGCAAACAGCCACTCAGGACAAGGCAGAGAAAGTCTAGTCAAAGCTGTAGAAAGTTCTCTGTATGTCCAAAGGCTCCTGCTTTGTCTGTTCTTCTCCTACTGACTAGAGTCTCTGGATGTTTCTTCTCTGCAGTTATCCCTGAAGGCCACGTGGCATGGGGTAGGCCACAGCATATCTGAGGATCTGGTCTGATATCATGTATGGAAGAATTGAACTGCAAAATTCTCATTGACTTGACTAGAGCCAGAATTTCACCCCATGCCATTTTTCACATTAAGCTGTTTTTCCGTATGCTCCATTAATTGATTTTAAAAAAAATCAGTGTTCCGAGTACATTATTACTCCAGGTTTCCAATGAAAAAGTTAATTTACACTCAGTCCCAAGATGCTTGTTTCCAGATGCTTGTTATGCACTGGACTGAAAAAAACAAATTTGTGGCCTTATGGTGGATCTAAATTCAGTAGTAATACTACTAATGTGAAGTATGTTTTTAGCATACATGCCAATGTGAAGATGAAGAATACACAAACATAGGCTTGTGTCTTCTCTGTGATCAATACTTGAGTTCCTCTGTGATGGAGCCCTTTCTGATTTCTAGTAATATATCAATATATCAAATACATGAGAATTTTTTCCCCCTCCCATTGCAATTCTTATTCCTGCTGTAACTTTATTTCCCTCCATGTTGAATCAGTTTGTCTGGAGGCTGACCGAAGGCGTTGCTTCAGGCAGCACTGGTGAGTTTGGGGAGGGATAAAGGTGGGCATAGTTACAAGCCTTTCTAGTTAGGTTCTTAAGGGACTTTAGTAATTCAGGAGAAATTCAAAACAATGAAGCAAAATCAAGAAATGTACTTCCTAGCTAACAGAGGATAACAAACAAGTATCCTGTAGCAGGAGTTAATTCAGGATCCCCTTGACAGCAAGGGTACCCATACTCAGATACCCTACGCTCCTCACCATGATTTGGAGTTTAATTACTGGGTGAGGTTCTATGACCTTTGCTACACAGGTCAGACTATACGATTGCAGACTAGTTGCCTTTTGGCCTTAAAATCAAGGAATCTATAGATAGATTAGATAGTTGGAGAGCTGCTGGGGAAATGTGAGCTAGAGGAGGAACAGCACATATTACTCTAAAGTAAAAGTAAAAAAAAAAAAGCCACCTTCTTGTTTTTTGATTAGCCGAATAATCTAAAAGGCAAGGATTCATATTTTTCATTTGAATACTCACGTTAAAAATGTGGATATTCTGATAAATATATATATATTTAAAATTGTAGGGGCAAGTCACTGGCCAGGAAGAGTGGTGTGATGTCTGAGTGTTCAGTAACCGCTTGACTTGAAAAGATCATAGTAAGTGATTACTGACTTGGGCTCTTAATTACTCTAAATGCATGTGGAAATGCATGAGTTTTCCCCCACACAAATAGATGCACATATTTTTCAGTGGTCCCGTATGCAGAGAATTGTAAAACACTGTGATATCCTTCAGGATAAACTGTGCTATGTAAAGTAAGCTTATAAATAGGATTTTTGTGCATTAGTATTACTATCATATGTTCTATCCTCTTCTCCTAGCAGATACTTATATATGACCTGATCATGGGGTCCTTACTGATGTGGTAAATGGGCCAACTCCTCTAAAGGTTACCATGTTGTGAATTGGGCTCCTAATAGATTAAATTCAGGGGTATGAATGTGTCCATTAAAGCCAGTTTGCAATCTGCATGATTTAATCCCTTTTAGCAGTTTAAAATTCTGTACAGTGGTTTAAAGTTACTGTTAGTATATAATTGAATATTCTGCACTTCATTTTCCTGTTAGAATTGCATTTTTTTTTTAGCTAAGGAAGCTTCATGTGAGCGATGGAGATCTAGGCTGTTCAATTATCGTTACCGTATATTTGGCAGGAGCAAATAAAATGGACAGCTCATATACTCCCTAAATAATGTCTATCTCGTTTTCTTCAACATTTTAATCAGTGTGGAGCTCCAGTTAGATTTTTATATATAAGAGCCAGGGAGACATGCAAGCAGGCAGACAGATGCTAAAATTTACCATGTTACATGAATTTTTTTCTACAAAATATGCATTTACCACAACCCCACTCTCCTCACAGATACTCTTTATAATCTTTTATTTCTCACTACTGTATGTTAAACCAGTACTTTTGATGGTTTAAAAACAAACACAACTGACCAAAAGAAGAAGGAAAAAAGGATTTGTAACTCTTCGGCGCATTCGCTGAATAGCATTAACTGTTGCATCTGTTTTTTGTAAGTGATCACATTTTCTTCCTGGCACTAGATTGACAAATATATAAATCAGCAACTTGAAATATGTGTACACGTTTTTCAAAGTAAAAAAAAAAATGCTAGGACTTTCCTATTTTGCATATTGTAAAATAGAAAAAGCAATCTTTTTTGAATCAAGTGTTCTTATTGAGCTAGGCTAGCTCTGCCAAGCTTTGCTGTACACAGTGCACATTCAGAGTCGCTGGGCCCTGTTGACACATTCCAGCGAAAGGGGTGCTGCTACTGCTGACTAGAACGGAAGGCAGTGCTTGCTTTTCTTGCTCAGGCCCAACCATTTCAGGAAAGTATCGGTAGCATTTGCATCCTGGCTGTAAAGGAACATCTGTTGATGATGAGGGGCCAAAATGCTGCGGTGGTGAGTGGCTAGACTGTAAAGAGATGACACTTACACGGTTATATGGTTGTTACATGATACTGTAGTTAGTTAAATATTTTAAATTAAATTTACCAGTAATTCAGATGAAAGCTCTTTGAGTCATTGTCTATAGTTTTGTAGAGTGCCTAGCACCACAGGGCACTGCCACAATTAGATGTGTATTTTTTATTTAATTATTTATTATTAACAATAAAAGGGGAATGAGATCATCATGCTATATCTTGACTTTAGTAAAGCTTTTGATACTGTCTCGCATGACCTTCTCATACACAAACTAGGGAAATGCAACCGAGATGGAGCTACTATAAGGTGTGTGAAAAACTGGTTGGAAAACCATTCCCAGAGTAGGTATCAGTGGTTCACAGTCATGCTGGAGGACATAACGAGTGGGTCCCACAGGGAACAGTTCTGGGTCTGTTCAATTTCTTCATCAATGATTTAGATAATGGCGTAGCGAGTACACTTATACAATTTGCGGATGATACCAAGCTGGAAGGGGTTGCAAGTGCTTTGGAGGGTAGGATTATAATTGAAAATGATCCGGACAAACTGGAGAAATGGTCTGAAGTAAATAGGATGAAATTCAAGAAGGACAAATGCAAAGTACTCCATTTAGGAAGGACAATCAGTTGCATATGTACAAAATGAGAAATGACTGCCTAGGAAGGAGTACCGCAGAAAGGGAACTGGGGGTTTAGTGGACCACAAGCTAAATATGAGTCAACAGTGTAACACTGTTGCAAAAAAAGCGAACATCATTCTGGGATGTAATAACAGGAGTGTTATAAGCAAGACACGAGAAGTAATTCTTCTGCTGTACTCTGCGCTGACTAGGTCTCAGCTGGAGTATTGTGTCCAGTTTTGGACGCCACATTTCAGAAGAATGTGGATAAATTGGAGAGAGTCCAGAGGAGAGCAACAAAAATGATTAAAGGTCTAGAAAACATGACCTATGAGGGAAAAATTAAAAAATTGGGTTTGTTTAGTCTGGAAAAGAGAAGATTGAGAGGGGACATAAGTCTTCAAATACATAAAAGGTTGTTACAAGGAGGAGGGAGAAAAATTGTTCTTCTTGACCTCTGAAGATAGGACAAGAAGCAATGGGCTTAAATTGCAGCAAGAGAGGTTTATGTTGGACATTAGGAAAAATTTCCTAACTGTCAGGGTGGGTAAGCACTGGAATAAATTGCCTAGGGAGGTTGTGGAATTTCCATCATTGGAGATTTTTAAGATCAGGTTATACAAATACTTGTCGGGAATGGTCTAGATAATACTTAGTCCTGCCATGAGTGCAGAGGACTGGGCTAGATGACCTCGCAAGGTCCCTTTCAGTCCTATGATTCTATGACCATGGTATGACTCATTCCTGATGTGCATATGAGGGTTGTTTGTGGACTGGCCCATGGCAGATGGTAACAGTGGATTGGGGGTACTAGGATGCTGACATCTTACTTCAAGAGTATTCCAAGAATTTGTGTGTACAATTGGGGAAGAGAAAGACATAACTGATTGGTGGCAGGGTGGACAAAAATAACTGAAGTGGGGTTGATGAGGCCAGAATGAATTGATGAGGGGCAAGGAGATGCACACTAATTGACGTTGTGGTGCAAAGGGGTACACAGTTAATGTGGAGTCAAGGAACAGGCAGATATGGGCTGGAGGGGCACAGTATTAATTAAATTGCATTTGGGAGAAACTGGAGGTCTGTATTATCAGGCAGCACTTCATGCAAATATCTGTAACCTTCTGTAATGATGCTTACTACTTTTGTGAAGTGCTTTGAGATCTGTTGATGAAAAGTGCTGTATGAGAAGAGCGAGGTATTATGTTTGTGCAAATTAAGAATCTACCCTTTATGTCATAAGATGTTGACAAGTATGTATATATTTTGAAGCTTGTGTCATCTGAAGCAGGAACTCTGAATATTTCTCTGGATATCTGTGCTTACCTGTGGAAAAAGGCAACATATGTGCTTTGCTTAGTAGGCCAGAACTAGCAGCACTGCACTAAGAAGGAATCAAGTCTGGAAGCAACAGGGGGTTGTGAACCCCATTAATTTACATGAGGATGCTCCTGCTGATCAGTTAGTTCTGGATGAATTGTGTCTAATAATTGTCAAAGCACTTAGAGTTTATTCAGGCACTTTCATGTACCATAAATATAAATGATATATACACTTGTATTGTGTTTGCCAATCAAGTGTTTTGGAGCCTAATTCTAGTGGGCTTTTCTATAAAAAGAGGAGTTTGATTTGAGGGGAGACTTTTAATTGCTTGTTTTATTTATTCTAAAGTTAGTGAAATCTCCAATTCAAGTTTATCTTTTTCATTCAAGTTCTTTAAAAGAATATTCTCAACGACAACTAAAAGGTGTCATAGACTTCTAGCACCTGCACTTGTGAACTAGGTTTTGTTTCATAATTTTGAATGATTTGTTTATTATTTTGGTTCTGTCACTACAGCATCATTTTCTTGTCAAGAATTGCTCTCTGGAGTGATTTAAATTATGTAGTTTAAATCTGAATTTGATTAATGTGCTACAATTGTCATCACTGATGCTCTCCCTAAACAATTCATCTCTTTTCCTTTTCCTCTGTTTTTAGAATTTCAAGTGTTGTTGTTTTGGCTCTTGATGAGGGGAAAAAGTAAATGATTCTCTCTCTCTCTCCCTGCACTCCCAAGTAAGCCTTCAGGGAGTCCCGTAATATATCTGGCAAGATCATGGGAGACTTGGTTTTATTCATTTATTTCTTGAACTTTATAATAAACTCACCAAATTTAGAGTCATGAATCCTTAGAAAGGAGTTTTGCCAGAGAGCATCAATATTAAAGATTGAAATGGAAACATGATCAGAAATATGAATTGTGTCAATGCAACTACTTATCTGTCCTGCCAGAAATCAACAACATATCTATTCTAGAAAATGGATGGGGAAAATGTATATTTACTGTATGCCAGATTTGAAAGATGCCGAATAACTTGTAGGCTTAGGCCAACATTTTCGACTTTGGGTACCCAACGTTGGGCACCTAAACCAAGGGGCCTGATTTTTAGAGACACTGAGTCCCTGAAGCTTCATGTGACTTCAACTTATGCACAGTATTAAATGTATGGGTCTTTAAAATGGGTTTATATAGGGATCTGTCAAGAATGGGATACTTACTAAGTTGTATTGTTCACTGATATTCAGAAGAATATCCTTGCACTCCACCAATGTAACCAAAGCCTCATATTATTAGATTTTAGTGGGATCAAAGCATATCAGATTATTTTGATACCTCATAGTAATGGCTAAATATAAATAATATTTATCAAGCAGTGGTCAAAACAAAGCCATTCACTGGCATATAAGAATCCAGGCATGAAAGGGAAATGCTATAGAATTAACCTGTGCTTGTATGCTCTGCTCAAAGGAAATTAGTAGGGTCCAGTACAGAGGGTCCCTCCCACCCGCAATGAAAATATAGAGGCTTTTCCCCCAGACTTTGCAGCAGAAGGCTACACAAATAATATATTTAAATATCAATTTAGAGAATATGCAAAGAACACTCTAATTTCTAGCTAGCATTGATGAAGTAGTACACCTCTACCCTGATATAACGCTGTCCTCGGGAGCCAAAAAATCTTACTGTGTTATAGGTGAAACCGCGTTATATCAAACTTGCTTGGATCCGCCGGAGTGCACAGCCCCGCCCCGCCGGAGCGCTGCTTTACCGCGTTATATCCGAATTTGTGTTATACACCTCTACCCTGATATAACGCGACCCCATATAAGTTAGTCGTAAAGAGGGAAGATGATATCCAATTGTTCGTTATGGCCTTCATCAGACGGTCTAGGGATGATCATGCCCACTGGAGACACAGTTGCCTCTTGTATCCTGAATTATAAATTCGGTTCACAACTCCTCTATAATAAGAAAAATAATAATTACATGAACATTACATCAGTTTTTTATTTGCCTTACAACAGATGACCATATTCTGCTATCAATTTCCTGTCCACTAGCTGAGAGGAAGGTTGCGTTTGCTGTTTGCTTGTGCTTCTGCTTCATGCTTATGATGATGAAAGTTTAGAAATCAGGATTCTCAAATAGCACAATATTCAGTATAAGAAAGTGTAGCAGAGAGAGGAAAATGTGGAATGGCAGCAAACAATCCTATAGCAGAGAAGGCACAGATAGCAGGGAACATTGCACTCTGCAGTGCTTAAGGTCAAAGGTGGTTTTTTTGAGCAAAGATTCATGGCTTTTAAGGCCTGCCAGACCTCTGCTACCTATGATCGTTATGCCCAATGAATGTACGTAGTGTTCTTTTAAGTGGTTATGAGTTAATGAATGAGATCTGCTTCTTTTGTCTCAAATACATTTTACTGCTGAGACATTAGTTTATTGTAAATTAGAAGATTTAACTGGAGCAGAGTTGGATTTAGTTCATAGTTTCAAATATTCATGCTCTGTTTTTACTGGTACTGAAAAATATTATATATTTGGGACTATTTTATTGTACTTATCATGGGAATTTTTAAAGGTTTGAAACATAAAACCTCCAGGAATTCAATGAACAGTGCAATTGCAATAGACAGTTTCTTGCCATATTTAGATGATAAATTTATATTTTGCTTTTGGGTAGTCTAACCAGGAATTAGTTTTTCTGACATGAGACATAAGTTATATAAAACTTATGGGATGTTATCACTTTAAAAAAAATTGTTCAATAAGTACTAGCATACCCAATCCAGCTCTAATTTCCCAGCAGGCAATCAATTCAACACTGCTGCCTATATAGGGAATTTTATAATGTGTGTGAGACATCTAATCTATAATAGAATTATGAAACATTATAAATTACAATGTCCCAACATTATTTCAGAATTTGTCTTGCATACATTATAAAACTGGTCATTTAGCTTTGGTTGTTGCTAGGATGTTAGATCTAGGTAGAAGTCTTACTGAGTGATCAGTGCCCATTGGTGAAGCAGG